TCCCTACCGCTCCGGCGGGGCACCCGGCAGCCCGGCGGAAGGTGGGCTTGGCTCCTCCCGCGTCACTCCGTCACACATGACGCGTTTCCTTATTTTGGCTGTTACTTCCTTAATTATCCCTGGTTGGCGAGTTAGTGCATCGCGTTGCATTTTGACACTGCTGCGGTTATTTCATTGCTACAGGTTAAACTCACACCAGGTTACTAACAAGAACGCTTCAGGAAAGCCACCCAAACTTGCTAGCAGTAGCCCAGATAATAGCTTTTGGCTTTTCCTTCCAGCCAGCAGTTAAGGTCAGCACAGTGTTTCTAAAGGTGAAAACACAAGCATGCACAAAAACTCTCCAGATTTAAAAAATTAGCATACCCACAACTCAATTTACTTCCATCTCATAAACTCCTCACACCTAGATTCTCCCTCCTGGGATTTCTGCAAAGCTGAGGGGAAAAAATGTCAACAGTCTTGCTGTAAGTTTTGTCCTACTTATACACACACTCCCAACTACTATAAAAAAGCCAATTCTATCTCAGCTGAAACTGAACTAAAATGACATGTCTATTGAGCACTGCAGCCCCCTTGGAAATGCAGCTCTGCTGAATAGAAAATTGATTCTATGAGTCTATCCAAGCAAAACCAGGACAAGCCTGAATAAAACTCTAGGAATATAATCCTTCTTTCCTTTCTACTCCTCGCACCACTTTGAAAAAAATTAGGATCAGCTTTATTACAGAAGTGGCACATAACAACTATGCTGTCATAAGGCCTACAGAGACAAGCAGTGAATGAAAGTTTAAACAAAGAGATCAACAGAGTAACTGCACGTCTTCACCTTCACCATCCCAGGCCCTGACAATTCAAGCAGTGAAATCTCATCAGTATCTTGGGCATTCTCCCACTGAACACAGTGCTTGCCTTTAGCCTTTCAATGGATAGCTCCTTCTGGTCCAGTATGTGCTTCCCTCCCCTCCAACCAGTGCTACTGGGTAGACTGGCTAGTAAGTCTAAACTGCTAAGCATTCACAGTAGTAACCTTGGCTTCTCCCAGAAGCAAGACCTTGCCTAGACAGCTGCAAGTGAATAATCCCAGCTGAGAGCGAGAAGCTGTCTCCCATGTGACAGGAGCTGAACAGGTACTCCAGACCCTTATAGAGCCACTGCTATGCAGAATGGCTGAATCCCCTTTTTTGAGGTGGAAATAATGATGAAATGTATTATTATCTTGTTACTCAGGCGAGCCACAGCATTGAAGCAAAGGCTGTGAGTGATAAAGTAACTCATTCCCAGTTTGCATCATCCAGCCTGTATGAATGCTGTAACCTGAAAGCAGAGTGCATCACCCAAAGCCACACTGGCATCAACGTAGTTAACTTGGACACCTGGAGCATCAAAGCTCCCCCAGCACAAGTGACACAGCATCCCCATAGATACTCTGGCAGTCAGTTTGCACCAGGGTAAATGCAGGCCCACAACCTCATAAACAAGAGTGCACCCAGCTGGGCTGATTGCCCCCTGCACACACACAGAAAAAGCAGGTTGGAGTTCACAGTCACTATGCTGGGATAAATTCTGAACTTCTTGCAAGAGCAAAGGCTGCCAAAAAGAAGGCTTGCACTAGAAAACTTTTAGGTTGCCCAGGAAATGAGCAGCACATCACGTTAAGTCACACCGTATGACAGAACAGTGATTTTGCATCACCTGTTATTACAGCAAACCTCACACAAAATCGCATACTTTTTCCTTCTGCTGCAGCAGCAGTAAGAAGGTGGTGGAATATGTTTGAGACAGAAGCAGCCTTTTTCTGAACTACCACATGATAATTCCTCTGAGTTAACCTCAATTTAAGGGCAAGAGGGAGCAACTGGAAAGCCAGTGGTGCCCGTTAAGGTCTCCACATCAAACAGCAGCGTGAGGAAGAGCTTGCAAGCTCACAAGTTAACAAGAGAAAAAGCATCTCTTCAACCACTACTTTGGACCCACAAATTCTCCAGTTCAAGTTTATGTTACACTTCTGTTAAACCAACAGTGCCATTGCTAAACACAACGTCATTTGTGGTCAAGAAGTCAGTGCAGATGTATGTATGGATATACATCAGCTCCAAAACATTTTTGAGTAAGCAGAACATCGAGAAGGAATGCAAAAAAGTAGCTGAGTGTTGCTCTTTTCAGACACCTGCTCCCTGTGCGCTGATCTCATCTGTCTTTCGGCAGCAAGGAGCATTATGGATGGAATACACTTCGATCTTGTGTCTGTTTCTGGTGTGACTGTTTCTGCCTTAACATGCTGTGAAGTTGTTGTGCATGGTGGTATAGACCTATTAGATACACAGACTTCCTCTAAAGGTAGGGTACCTGCCACTTCATGTCTTCCTGGAAGGAAAAGAATTAATTTCAATCACTTTTTCTGTATTCAAAGTTGTCAAAGTGGGTGATGCACAGGTATGTTACAGAAGCATTAATACTGGGGCACATTCTGTACTGCCTTAATCCTCACACCTTTTGTTCCATCTCATGCTACAGATTTGCTGCAATTCAGCATCTCGCTTTGCCTACAGCCATGTACTACAGAATTGTGGTTTAGCTTTTTTGCTATAAAACAGTTCCTACAAGGAGGTGAAACTAAGAAAAAGCAACTGTTTTCCTAGGGTTTTCATTTCTCTTCCATCATCACCTGTTATCTATTGTATTTGACGCTGTCCAATTCTCTACCTGAACTGCCCAGAAACCAGTAAAACAAAGACCTAATTTTCATCAAGCTTGCTCTTTTTCTGAAAAAGAAAAATGCACCTTTCACCTCAATCTGCTCTGTGAAGCTTGCTTCATATTTATCCACAATCACATCTTCTCTTACCTTTGCTTCTCCCATTGGCTTTGCACCCAGCTTTTTTTTCTACTTTTTGGTAATGCGTTGTATCTCATTCATATTTGTCACTCATTTTCCTAAGTAGCCATCTTTTTGCTTTTCCTTGTTTGGATCCTGGTACAGTTCTGGGAGTCGGGAGGCTCAATGGCCTTAAAATGCTCTCATGGAAATCTGGCCTCTTCAACTCATTGCTCCAGCTCAAAGATCTGGTTAAAACTGTCAGAACATCCTCAGTATCTAACCAACTGCCAGTATCTCCAATTTCTCTGTTTCAACCTTGTGTAACACATGAACAAATTTCTCTTTGTCCGAATAGTAACAAGCAGTAACAATTCACTGCTTTTTAACCAAATCAGGACAAATAGTATTAAAAGCAACTTTCTTAATTTAGTCTGCTGACAGCAGAGAGCCACCACCAATTGCTTCCTATAGTATGGAAAACAAACAGAAATCTAAGCAATGACAAGAAGCCAAGAATTAGTAGTTAGTAGCTGGATACCAGACAGTTGTACCTGCACAGGGCACAGTTATGCTAACCCAAGGACAAAAAGAGAAGTGCACTTTTGGGAAAAGTGGGAGGAATAGCACACAGGTCAGACAGATGAAACCTCTGCAGAGCATTCCAGAAATAAGTCATCCAAGACTGCAAGTCTGTGCCACTCCTTTAAAAATTTAAGGTTTTGCAGTTGCTTTTAAGTGTTAGTAGTTAGAGCCTACCATCAAATTAAAAGGGTAACATTTACTGGACAAGATCTACGCATTTTATGCTTATATAGCAAAGAACCTAAATTTAGAGGAGCTCTCCATAGTAACATGGGAGTAAAATATCATAATTAAGCATGATTTATCATTGCTGCCTATACAGCAAATAACTGATGCTTGTAAGACATTTCTTCTGACAGATTTGTAAATGAGAAGTCTTTTGTAACTCAAAACTCATTCTATTTAAGCTGTTTAAATTAAAACCATTGTTCAATTTGTATTTTCCAAATGAGAGTCAACTTTCAGTAAGGCTAATAAATACTGATAGGTGTTGCAGAGTATAAACCCAAAGAAAATTTTTTAAGTTTTAAAACTTCACCGTATAGCTTCAGCAGTTTGACAAAATCAGGAAGTTGGACAGGCTTTCTTTTTGTTGTAGTACAATGAAATCTTTGCAGCCATTTTTAAGTTAGCTAGCACATGATAACTTCAGAATTAAGAACAAAATAAAATGAAACTTCTTGACTGATTAAAGTCTAAAACAAGCATCTGAAAACCTGACAGTAGCACTGTGCTGTTCTCTCATGTACAATTTTCCTTTTGTTTTAATTAGGTTAATGAAATTTAAGAACACAGGTATCCTGCTGTTGAGATCGCACCCATAATTGTGTATGTGCTACTACAAACATACCACTTCAGTCAGTATCAGTAATGCCAGCGTGATAGTTTTATTCCACTCCCAAATCAATCATATCCTTATCTTTAATGATGCACTACTTGTTTGCATTCAAATATGCATATAAACATCCAAAAGAGTTACCGTAACAGTTTTTATTTAAAAAACCTAATGTACATGGTTTTCCCCAGTACAGCTATATTTTTCTTAAAAAGTACTGTATGTATCAAACATTTAGGGTTTATCCCATCACTGTCAATTGTCTTTGAAGAGCTGTCAAACATCTCCAACTTTCATTCATTTCAGTAAAGTCTCAAGAAAAAGCTTTTAGCTTTCTTAATTTAAGAAAAGAGGCTTAGCATTTCATGGCATGAGGACAACATGCCAGTAACATCCTTGTGTTTACAGCATTCTTTCAGGAATGATATAAAACTCCAAATGGCAAGTGATAGTTCATACCCTGCATAATACTAACACAAGATACATTAGAGTTATTCAGATGAATAGATAGCATTTGGAAAGGTCCATCAACATTCATATTTTTAACAGCTCTTTAAAGAGGTAATGGTGCAGATTAAGTACAAGCTTTTTGCCTCAGTATAATGCACATTTGAAATTAAAATAACACATGGAAGACCAGTATCTTTACATTTTATTCTTCAGAAAAAGAAGAACCTTAAAGAAAGCATTTAGTAGTCCACTTGTGCTTAAAATATTCAATGCATGAGAAAGCCAAAAGAAAAAAAATACACATTTTTGTCCACATGATCAAAAAGATAACATTATAAATTTTCAAAAATTGCACTGTATTTAGAACACTCTCCAGAATTCTGCTCCACTTCTACATATGGCTACTGAGGATGCCTGACACAGTTCCTTTTCCACTTTAATTGCCAACCTGTGGAGGTCCTTCAGGGATGAGTGATGTGAAGAAGGTTGTGATAAAGGACCAAGCAGAAGCCATGAATCCAGGCTGCTGCTCGGTATTGGCATCTTCACCTGCATCTTCTCCGCTGTCTTCATCAATCCCATCATCCATAAGCCGTTCCTTTAAAAACAGAAATGGAAGCAATTCAACTGCTTCTTTTCAGAGCTCTGACATAAGGTAACCAGCAGTATCTTCCTCCACAAAGCAACTTCTCTCAGAACAACCTCCTGAAGAATAACTAGCATGAAGAAAGTCTGTGATTGAAGTAGAGACCATCAGTAACTGTCAGACTGGAAAAATACAGAATTTAAGTAGCAGATACAACACTGAAGACAATGCTGAAAGCTTTCTGGTTAAACCAACTACATTTCATAAGAGTTGGACCTTCTGTCCAAGCATTACAGCTTACTTCAAAATACAATACATAGGAGTCTCAAAAGACATCTGCTCTTACTCACCATCTCTTCAAGATCAGGATTATTTGCATCACGGTTCACTTCCACATTATTGGCTGCCTGTTGTTGGCCTCCCTCTTGCCTAAAGGGAAACCATCCCGCTTGGTGTCTAGGTAAGAAAACAGAACAGTTGAAAACCTCTCCTTGGAAAGGAACAAAGAGACTTTTCTGATACAGCTAACTACTCCAGTAAATTCTTCAAGTACTTTCACATGAATGAAGCTACATGTATTTTTCTGCAAGTTTGTCTTCTAGATTAAACAGCTATTCTTTGATGTCTGGGTTAAGAAAGGTCTTGCTAAGAGCTGTTCCTCAAGTTCCAGAAGTGCTGTTTACAGCCCTCTTGTTCCAGAAGATAAGTAATTTACTATGATTCAGTGATTAAACATGTAGAATGCTTTTTTGGATATCCTTCCCATTTTTAAGTACTTAAGTTATATTAATTTCCAAAGGCAGCCTTAGTTTTCATAGTTCAAAGTTGATTTTCTGTAGAAAAAAAATTTTAAACGTCAGCTAAAACTTCAAACACATTAGCACTGTAAATTAAATAAGCCTCTTCTGTGTTTTCAAGAGTCTATATTCTGATTTCAACTGTCATATCTGCATGAAAAATAGAACAGTCCATGTCAGGACTAAGACTACAATGTAAGGAAACCAAACAAATGACATTAGCCCAAAATATCAAGCTGTTTTCCACTTCTATTTACATCACTAAGGTATCTTCATATATAAAGAGAAGTGATGACAACAGTACTGATATTTCTTAATAAAACAGAGATAGAGCTTAGGTCTTTATGATGTATTGTAAAAAAAAAAAAAAATTAAGGCCCTTGCAATTCTACCAGATCTAGTACTCGCCATTACAGTAGCAGTACCTTAACTCTGCCTAACACAATTTACTGCACAAATCCCATGTTATTTTTTAAATATAAATGAGCTCAGCTCTGCAGTTTTCCTTTCATACCAAGCAGAAAATGTTTTAAAGTTTATGAAAGCATATCCTTGATCCATATGAACTTGCTTCCCCTCACCCCCACTTTCTGAATTTCCATCCCTCAGTTCTGCATTTCTACTATAGTGATCTGCTCATAATTACCAACATTTAAGAGTGCTGTGTTTCAGGTACGAATGGTATCAAGCCTACTGTAAAAAATGTTTTGAGAATTAAATTCATTTTTTTCATATCAGTGTCTTTGCTTGTTTGAAATTCATTTCTCCCCCCCTTACACACTTTTTTGTAAAGGAGAAGTGCCTAAACTTTTGTATTTGGATAGTTTGTCACAGTTTAAATAGATTACACTGTAGCACCATAGTCCACATATCATATCTGCAGCTGTACTCAACTGTTGTACTCACAAATAAACAAGCAGCATGGCTCCCATTACCATGACAAACCGACTGAAGGAAGAATAGAAGTATACAATGCTCAGAAGAATTGCTGCTCTGGAGAATGTGTACATCCAGTCCAGCCAGTCCCGGTTGAAGTCCTCCTCATTCACTACCGGGCCACCCTGTGCATTCATCTCAACATTCGGGTTCACAGGCCTGTTCTCCTGGACAGCTACATTTGGCGCTGCTGCGGGCTCATTTGCAGGAGCACGATCCGAATTTACAGCCTGGGCAACTGCAGATCTCACTGGCTCCGTGCTGGAAGTCACTTGGGCTGAAACAGCAGCCTGGCTAGAAATTTAAACATAGAACTAGTTTGTCAGAAAACATGCACCAACATTTCTAAGCCTATTCTTGTCTTCTTTTTTACACTAATAAAAAAAATAAAATTTCAGATGTAATGCATGCCAAAACAAACTGCATTTTCCCTTACATCTTTACCTATTAATAAATTCAATCTAAAAATAATTTGTTGGACAAAACTTAGTGTAAAACAGCACTGCCAGACAAAATAAACAGACATTTTGAGCCCGCAAACAACTTCTAAGCTTTTAATACTTTCCTTTCATTAGTGTAACTCAGTATTTCCTAAGGTAATGCAGACTTACTATTGCATGTAGTACTGACGGGCATACATTTGCTGCCACCAGATCATCTGTAAGGGACTGAATGCAGGATACATAGAAAATCCAGCAGGAACACCTTGGCCTGGAAACTGGTTGCCTATATAGCTATACAAGGATTTAAAGAAAAATATTCAGTTCTAAATTGCCATGTCTATAAAGTGCACTAGTATTAAAAGACAATTACAGTAGCATTCTTCCTCTCATTTGTCCCCCTACAATAATGCACTGAAATAATACTGAAACATGTAGTGAGATCATCCCACCCATTCCAAAAAAGCACTTGTATGAAATACAGAAATTAGTAAGCAAAGTTATTTCTATAGAAAGAGGATTTATGGTTTTCGTACTTAAGATGTCTGTCACTAGCTGCATCTCTGGGAGAAAACCATATTGAATTTTTTTCAGAACTGTGTATATAACTGCAGAAATTCTTCCATACGTTTCCTTTTAAGTTCAAAAGTCATTCTTAAAGGTGCTGCAGGAGCTGTAAAGGGAAAACTTTCTAGCTTCTACAACTTCCTTTTAGAGGCAATTCCTGAAGTATCACTGTGATCACATGAAGAAACGAACAAGAGTAAACCACCAAACTAATCTTTCAGATACACCTTCTGAAGACTGCAACTAAGAACACTAAATTATTTACTCCCCC